ATGGAATTGGGTGGTGATCCTCAAAAAAATGATGAATATGTTCACTGGGGACCTATATTCTATGTATGTAGTTCTGCAAGGAATTGGGTCTCTTTCATGTATAAGGGTATATATCATATATGTAATTCCCTTTGTCAAGTAGCAACCCTGGATGTCTGAAGTTCCTAAACTACAACGTTTCAACAAAAACACAGGTCACCCGAAATGACATTTTTTTTTATATTGTATTAAAAAAAATGAATTTTTCAGGTTCACCGAAGGGTACCCCCAGGATTGGTGTCATAGAACTATGAAAAAAAATCTTTTGCAATGAAAACCAATGGAATTCGGTGGTGATCCTCAAAAAAATGATGAATATGTTCACTGGGGACCTATATTCTATGTATGTATTTCTGCAAGGAATTGGGTCTCTTTCATGTATAAGGGTATATATCATATATGTAATTCCCTTTGGGGAGTAGCAACCCTGGATGTCTGAAGTTCCTAAACTACAACGTTTCAACAAAAACACAGGTCACCCGAAATGACATTTCTTTTTATATTGTATTCAAAAAATGATTTTTTCAGGCTCACCGAAGGGTACCCCCCACGACTGGTGTCGTAGAACTATGACCAAAAAAAAAAATGCAATGAAAACCAATGGAATTGGGTGGTGTTCCTGAAACAGTTGATGAATATTTTCACTCGGGACCTATATTCTATGTATGTAGTTCTGCAAGGAATTGGGTCTCTTTCATGTATAAGGGTATATATCATATACGTAATTCCCTTTGGCAAGTAGCAACCCTGGATGTCTGAAGTTCCTAAACTACAACGTTTCAACAAAAAAACGGGCATCCCGAAATGACCAATTTCTTTTTATATTGTATTAAAACAATGAGTTTTTCAGGCTCACCGAAGGGTACCCCCCACGACTGGTGTCGGAGAACTATGAAAAAAAAAACTATTTTGCAATGAAAACCAATGGAATTGGGTGGTGTTCCTGAAACAGTTGATGAGTATTTTCACTTGGGACCTATATTCTATGTATGTAGTTCTGCAAGGAATTGGGTCTTTTTCATGTATAAGTTTTATCAATCATTAGCCTGTTTGTCTGTTGCCATGTCCGTATGCAAAATGTGGAGCCCAGGGGGTAGCCCAGGGGGCAGCCCATGAGCAGCCCCAAATGGAGCCCCAATGTATGTTAAAGACCCATGTTGGGTCTGAAAAAGGGTTCACCTCAGGCCTTGGCGTGCACAATCAAACTTGGTATGAAACAAACCTCTTGAGTCAGGTGACCCAAGTCTGCTTGGACAACATGTTGGAGCGCCAGTGCCACACTTTGAGCATAGTCATCGAGGGCCATCGGCCCATAGGGTTTTGGCTTGAGCATGGTGATTTCAATGATTTCATGGAATAGGTGTTTTTTGCTTGAGACTTGGATTTTGTTACCGCATGGTGACATACTTATTGAGTTCACGAAGCATTTTTGACGACCTGATTTTGATGCTTGACCGGGGGCTATTGCCATGAAGCGCTTGCACGGCAGTAGTGATGATGAACCAGCCCCAGGCATCTAGTAGCAAGTCATTTTTTGCCACTTTGACACCGGGTGGCATTTTTTTGAACTTCACTGCAATGGTCATACCATACATTGCAATTACGTTGGGCAGGGAGTCTGTGAGAGTGCTGTACAGTGGTTGGGGCACTCTTCCCACTTCCCGTCAGCTCCTTTGATGCAAGGAAGCTGCTGCTACATCAACGTTTGCACCATCTGAAGTTGCACGCGAAGACGCGTAGCAGTTTTCAGAGACTTGTCTAGTGTGGAGGACGTGGTGTCAAGGTAGTGTTGGATGGTTTGATGTCTAGACTGGCTGAATGAAGTTCCGACATGTTTCTTTAGGCAACTTGAAACCTCTTTCCTTTTCATGGGCACGGCGCCCCCCCAATGCTTGGCACTTGGAATCTGCCGTTGCTATATAGTTGGTGTGCAGCAGGAGATCTATGACAAGGACAACTTCGAATATGGTCCATTTCATCACGGTGCATTGCCGGGAATCTGGTCACCTTCCGGATTGATCCATAGCTGCAAAGAGCAGGCCAAGATTGAGCTAGGCGTAGCACGGCGGTAAAACATACTTCTGCGAATTGGCAAGAATATGTTCATTTTTCAGTGACTTTTCTTGGCTGGATACTGTGATGACAACTGACATTGATTACTTGCTGACGCCTGTTTGTGTGCTATAACGATTCTGATTTTGAGTCTATGATTATCTCAAAATTTGCTCTTTTCAATCATTCTCCAGCGTTGGCAGGAAACTGCCTTTGCTTCGAGTGACCTCTTCCATTGGCTGGTCGTGCGGGGGATGTAGCTTAGGCTGGGGCTATTGCGCTGATCGTTTGGATTTGGACGATTTGCAGGCGCCAACAGTGGCGGCCAAGGCGCTTGGGCGCACCTTACATGTTGAGAACTTCTCAGAGCTGATATGGAAATTTGAACCAGTAAGGATAGTCAGGATTATCTTTTTTGATTCTGTGACATGGGGTTGGTTCCCACTTTGGGCTGCACTCTGGGCTGCACTTTGTTTCACTTTGCCACCAAAACTTCCCCCCAGGAACGGTTCAGAACGGTTCAGAACGGTTCTGAACTATTGTGGGGGTGTTTACGCATGGTGTTTGGGCACGTTTGGACCAGCTTTTGGGAGTTTTTTGTGTGTTTTATTGTTGTCTTAAATGATTTTCGCGGCTTCAATCCACCTGGGAAGGACCTGAAGAGGAAGGACTCTACAACACAAAAAAAAAGGCTGTGAAATCAGAGCTGGGGATTGAGCCTTTCCAAGGCTTTGTGCCTCCTAGCTTATTTCAATGCGAGGGAGTTGGACAAATTTGACATTGAAGCTGCCAAGCTCCTCGCACCTTGTCAAACGCTCCCCCCTTATTTACATTGCTGTAGATCGCATGATCAAACAGCCAAACCACATGTTTTTTAATTAGTCCTTGGCAGTTTTCGATGATTGTCGTGCATCATATCAATTGAACAATTTAATGCATAAATTAAATTGTGATTGTTATGTTTAGTTTACTTTTATTAATATTCGACTTCTCTTTTACGACTTACACAGTGTGAGACGTTTTTCTTTGCTGCGACATTTTTTAATATAGAAACTGCCCTTCCCTTTCATTAATAACTTCAAACCTTTAAGACCACGTTTTCAACTTAAAATTTTGATATTCAAAAAACATGTGCCAAAACACGCCCCAAGACATCTGCCAGGAAACCGTTCTGAACCGTTCTTTGTAGAAAGTACCCAAAAAACGCAAATAGTTCAGAACCGTTCTGAACCGTTCTGAACCGTTCTTTGAGGGGTGAAGTTTTCATCAGAGAACCGTTCTGAACCGTTCTTTGTGCATCCCAAAGTAGTGTTTTTCTGTATTTATTTGAACAGTATTTTCAACTTGTTTTCTTTTACGGATATCTGATATCTTAATCATTCATCATGTGATTTAAAACATCATTGCATGTTGAATCATTTCGCTTCATTTTCAACGCATATCATTTTATACTACTTGAGTATCATTTCATCATACCACATCTTATCACCATGTATCGCATCAAATATTTTCATCATGACAACATCAAATCACGGAGCCCTTCCACGTTTCCACGCTATGGTAATTCCACGGTATAGACATAGACATAGAGACACAAATCGTACCGAAATAACATACCATGTCAGTTTGCATCATGTCAGTTTGCATCATGTCATTAGTCGTATAGGTCAAGTCATACCATCACATCATATGAATCATATCGCAACATGTTATGTCCAAACTCAACAATTGCCTAAACTTCAAATTTGTTTTAAAGCTTCCTATTGGACTAATCCTGCAGCGCTCTTAATTCCAACTGTGCGCAGCTGACTTTGCAAAAAGGGCATTGCTGCTCTTGGACATTTCGGCAGTTTGGGAAGTTTCCACGAAGGTAGGGTGAAAATTTTCTTGGGAAATTGAATGTCAACAACAGTTTTGACATCAATCTGGGCTTGCATCAGGGCTATGTATGGTGCTATGTATGGGGCTGTGTTTTGGAGAAAGAGACTCTATACGTATAAATTGACAGAAACAGGCACTTAAACAGGCTAACGTTTGATAATGTATAAGGGTATATATCATCTTACGTAATTCTTTTTGGGGAGTAGCAACCCTGGATGTCTGAAGTTCCTAAACTACAACGTTTCAACGAAAAAAACAGGTCACCCGAAATGACCAATTTGTTTTTATATTGCATCTAAAAAATGAGTTTTTCAATCTCACCGAAGGGTACACTCCACGACCGGTGACGTACACGCATTTTTTTAATGCAAAGAGGGTGTTCGCTTGTATTCTCTTCTGTTCCTGACCTTGCTTTTCTTTTTCCTTTGATGCTTGTGCATTTGTCGGTACAATGATTGCCTTAAATTTGGCAATCGTGATCCAAAACTTACCCAGAACCCAAAAAATGTTCAATCTGCTGTGTTTCACACATGTTTTCGATATGGGAATATCGTTATTCCTATGGTATTTGCTTTGGCACTGTTTATGCACTCCAAAATTCTACCCCAAATATTTCTACCCCAAATATTCTAAGTTTTTTTTTCTCTGTCCACACCCGTAGGGTTGAAATCGGGCATATTCTATGTAGGCGATCGTGATTATAAATTGAAATCAATTCAATCAATTCAAAGTAAATTGAATTCAATTGAAAGTAAATTGAAATCGATTCAAAGTAACTTCAAATCAATTCAAAATAAATTGAAATCAATTGAAAGTAAATTGAAATCAGTTGAAAGTAACTTCAAATCAGTTCAAAATAAATTGAAATCAATTGAAAGTAAATTGAAATCATTAAAATCTATCATTTTTTTATTTCACACTATTCTGTACCCGGTACCTTGTTTTTTCCACACTATTCTGCATCCAAAATTTGTTAGGGGGGGGGGCACACTAATCTGTATCCTACATTAATTATATTTCAATATATTTCAGCTTGCTACCTGGCTAGCAGACTTCGCACGCTCTGCAGCTATCTCAATCCCCACGGACCGGCGCACTGATGGCCACTCCAAATAAGCCTCCGACTCAACCAAATCAGGGCGCAATTTGGAAACATACGATGCTCCCCGTGATTTGAAGTGCTGACCCTCCCGCGCCTGAACTACCAACTTCCCCAGGCCGCTGCCTAGGTCCATGAAAACAAAGGGCCCCGACCTTTGCTGTGCAAGCAGTCAGGTTTTGATTTGTACTGGTGCAATCATGGCTGCCTGCCAGTTAGCTACTAATGCCGCCAAACGGCTTTGCATCTGTCTGGTCAATACCCATGGCTCTTGCAAGATGCCGCGCACCAGAGGGCGTCAGCTCCCCATAGGTTGTTGGGCTGAAACCTCCATCCATCTCAAAGTCACCAGATTCCCTATCGTTCCCGGTCGTATCATATCCGTCGATGCCTCTCCAAGCATCTCGAAGGATGTCATCCACTTTCTGCCGATGCTCCATGGTTGATACATTTGCATCAGGCTCTGATCTGGTCAAAGGGACGAGCGCATATTTGTTGGAGGGCCTCGACTTCCGCGACAGACGACTGTAGCTCCTGCAGTTTCCCATGCTTCCAGTTATACAAGCTAGCGTGCAACTCGCTCGACACAATCTCGACTTCATGGATGCAATCTTTGGCATCCCATGAAAGCCATGATGTTTCTCCGGCAAGCGCATACGCCAAAATGCTGGCGTCCATCGAATCATCGGGATGCACACCACAGATCACACCACTATCCTGTTAGATCTGTTAGACATCTTGCCATTTTTGCATTCTGCTGTCAGTTTTGAAGCTTGCACACCTGCTTTCTGTAACTTGAGAGCCTTTATGGTAGGATTGATTCGAGACAAGGTGGTCTTTTGGTACAGTCGTTCCTGCAGCAAAGCAGCTGAGCCAATCGACATTCACTGGAACAAGAGCAGCTGAGATATGTTCCTTCATTGTTCCTTCAAGCTATTTACCCTGTTGTAGCCTGCATCTGCAACACAGAAGCGGCTCATCTTTGTGAACTTTGCTCCCGATGTGTAGTTGTGGTTAGTCATGATTAGTCTATTAATACAGCTATGTACAAGTCAAGCACCAAAAATTGTGCAGCCAGTGCTTGTGGCTTCAGCGCCTCGTTTGGGCGCCCCTTGCCCCTTGAATGTTCTGTATCAGAGCTCAGCACAGATCTTTGTCCATGCCTGATATGTTGCCCGCCTGCAAATCTGAAGAAATCTGAAGTTTGACCATGGAGTTGTGGCCGCCATCTTCGCAATACTTCGAGTCTTCGAGTTTGTGTCCTTCAAGTGGAAGCGGAGCCTTCCGAGCTCTGGCTGCTTACCCAGCACCCAAAAAAGTGACATCTTCTGTAAAGGCTGGGTCCAGCTAGGTCTGGAAGGTTGCAGTGATTCCTGTTCTTCGCCAGTCCCGAAGCCCAAGCACAGAGAAGCGCACTGCCAACGAGGCAAAGTACTGGACTCCAGGGCAAAGACCATTCCTGAGATTCTTGGTAAGGCTGCGTTGCTGTTGAAGGTATGCAAATGTCGGGTGTCTTGTCACGTGCTCGCACGTGCTCAAGCGGCTTGATAAGGAGTAGGACTGACATGAAATGACAACAAAAGTCATGAGATGACCTCGGTCTGAAGCCTTAAAATATAATCTGTTAAGGGCATCCATTCATCCCGGATCGAATCTAGATTTCTCCGGTTTGTATCTATGCGTCCGTCAGTGTCTGAATGAATTCATGCAGGCATTGTCCGTCAAAGCACACGGAAGCCTCGCAAGGCGGTCTTTGTGCAGCATACGGATTCTCCTCCGCAGTGTCCTTGCACCACTGCATCAAAGCTTGATATCAACCCTTGAGGCCCTTCAGCTTACATAAGACATCAGAAGAAACAGCTTAATCTTTCTACCCTCCAGACCAAATCTTGGCACTCCTCGTCCTGATCGCTAAGAAGAATTGTGCAATGTCTCTCCAAGCCACCATCATCAACACAACGAGACCTCCAAGACTGAGAGCCCAAGAAAAGAACTCTCTCACCAATGGTTATGTGATGTGATGTGGCACATCCTGGTTAGACATCTACTGCTTCAAGCCGCAGCAACTGGCACTGCTATGACAGAATCATACAGAATCTGCAAACGAGACACACATCCAGACGATACTCGAGGCTTGGCCTCCCAAGTCCAAGGTCAAAGTTGGTCAAAGTGACCGACTGTTGAAATTGAAAATTGTGCCCTTGCCTCCCAAATCCAAAGCCGCACAGGGACAGCATCTCAGGTGCTTGTACAGGGGGCCACCAGCAACGCACAGTGTGCACCGTCAAGGGCTCGATTAGCAACCTGACAGCTGGCAGCGTCAGCTTCTCTCAGAATTGCAAATGAAAAGCTACCAGGAAGTAAGTATGACATCAAGGAACGAAAAAAGGAAGCGGCATGGCACTCATGCACAACCTCAAGCAAATGTACAGAGTATCTACCAATATTTCATGTCGTGGCTTTGAAGAAACTCTCTGTCATCCAAGTCAGGAAGCTTGTGCGGACCAGCTCCAGTTGGAACCGGCACGTCTGCATCTGGAACGTCAAACCTTGGCTCATTCCGACGCATTCCGACGCTCTCAAAAGGAATCTCAAGGAATCTCAAGGGAATCTCAAGGGAATCTCAAGGGAATCTCAAGGGAATCTCAAGGGAATCTCAAGGGAATCTCAAGGGAATCCCAAGGGAATCCCAAGGGAATCTCAAGGGAATCCCAAGGGAATCTCAAGGGAATCTCAATGGAATTTCAAGGGAATCTCAATGGAATCTCAAGGGAATCCCAGAGGAATCTCAAGGAATCCCAAGGGAATCTCAAGGGAATCTCAATCTCAAGGGAATCTCAAGGGAATCTCAAGGAATCTCAAGGGGATCTCAAGGGAATCTCAAGGGAATCTCAAGGGAACCCCAAGGGAATCTCAAGCGAATCTCAAGGGAATCTCAAGGAATCTCAAGGGAATCTCAAGGGAATCTCAAGGGAATCTCAAGGGAATCTCAAGGGAATCTCAAGGGAATCTCAAGGGAATCTCAAGGGAATCTCAAGGGAATCTCAAGGGAATCTCAAGGGAATCTCAAGGGAATCTCAAGGGAATCTCAAGGGAATCTCAGGGAATCTCAAGGAATCTCAAGGAATCTCAAGGAATCTCAAGGAATCTCAAGGAATCTCAAGGAATCTCAAGGGAATCTCAAGGGAATCTCAAGGGAATCCCAAGGGAATATCAAGGGAATCTCAAGGGAATCTCAAGGGAATCTCAAGGGAATCTCAAGGGAATCTCAAGGGAATCTCAAGGGAATCTCAAGGAATCTCAAGGAATCTCAAGGAATCTAAGGGAATCTCAAGGAATCTCAAGGGAATCTCAAGGGAATCTCAAGGGAATCTCAAGGGAATCTCAAGGAATCTCAAGGGAATCCCAAGGGAATCCCAAGGGAATCCCAAGGGAATCTCACGGGAATCTCAAGGGAATCTCAAGGGAATCTCAAGGGAATCTCAAGGGAATCTCAAGGGAATCTCAAGGAATCTCAAGGAATCTCAAGGGAATCTCAAGTGAATCTCAAGGGAATCTCAAGGAATCTCAAGGGAATCCCAAGGGAATCCCAAGGGAATCCCAAGGGAATCTCAAGGGAATCTCAAGGGAATCTCAAGGGAATCTCAAGGGAATCTCAAGGAATCTCAAGGAATCTCAAGGAATCTCAAGGAATCCCAAGGGAATCTCAAGGGAATCTCAAGGGAATCTCAAGGAATCTCAAGGGAATCCCAAGGGAATCCCAAGGGAATCCCAAGGGAATCTCAAGGGAATCTCAAGGGAATCCCAAGGGAATCTCAAGGGAATCTCAAGGGAATCTCAAGGAATCTCAAGGGAATTCAAGGAATCTCAAGGGAATCCCAAGGAATCTCAAGGGAATTCAAGGGAATCTCAAGGGAATCTCAAGGGAATCTCAAGGGAATCTCAAGGAAATCTCAAGGAATCTTCAAGGGAAATCTCAAGGGAGGAATCTCAAGGGAATTCTCAGGGAGAATCCAAGGGGAATCCCAGGGAATCCCAAGGAATCCCAAGGGAATCTAAGGGGAATCTCAAGGGAATCTTAAAGGGAATCTTCAATCTCAAGAAGGAATCTCAAGGAATCTCAAGGAATCTCAATTGAAGGAATCTCAAGGAATCTCAAGGAATCCCAAGGGAATCTCAAGGGAATCTCAAGGGAATCTCAAGGAATCTCAAGGGAATCCCAAGGGAATCCCAAGGGAATCCCAAGGGAATCTCAAGGGAATCTCAAGGAATCAATCTCAGGGAATCCCAAGGGAATCTCAAGGGAATCCCAAGGGAATCCCAAGGGAATCTCAAGGGAATCTCAAGGGAATCTCAAGGGAATCTCAAGGGAATCTCAAGGAATCTCAAGGGAATCTCAAGGAACCCCAAGGGAATCTCAAGGGAATCTTAAGGGAATCTCAAGGGAATCTCAAGGGAACCCCAAGGGAATCCCAAGGGAATCTCAAGGGAATCCCAAGGGAATCTCAAGGAATCTCAAGGACTCTCAAGGAATCTCAAGGAATCTCAAGGGAATCCCAAGGGAATCTCAAGGGAATCTCAAGGGAATCTCAATGGAATCTCAAGGAATTAATCTCAGGGAATCTCAAGGAAACTCAGGGAATCTCAAGGGAATCCCAAGGGAATCTCAAGGGAATCTCAAGGGAATCTCAAGGGAATCCCAAGAATCTCAAGGGAATCTCAAGGGAATCTCAAGGGAATCCCAAGGGAATCCCAATGGAATCTCAAGGGAATCCCAAGGAATCTCAAAGAATCCCAAGGGAATCTCAAGGGAATCTCAAGGGAATCCCAAGGGAATCTCAAGGGAATCTCAATGGAATCTCAAGGGAATCTCAAGGGAACCTCAAGGGAATCTCAAGGAATTAATCTCAAGGAATCTCAAGGAAACTCAGGGAAACTCAGGGAATCTCAAGGGAATCCCAAGGGAACCTCAAGGGAATCTCAAGGGAATCCCAAGGGAATCTCAAGGGAATCTCAAGGGAATCCCAAGGGAATCTCAAGGGAATCTCAATGGAATTTCAAGGGAATCTCAATGGAATCTCAAGGGAATCCCAAGGGAATCCCAAGGGAATCCCAAGGGAATCTCAAGGGAATCTCAATCTCAAGGGAATCTCAAGGGAATCCCAAGGGAATCTCAAGGAATCTCAAGGGGATCTCAAGGGAATCTCAAGGGAATCTCAAGGGAACCTCAAGGGAATCTCAAGCGAATCTCAAGGAATCTCAAGGAAACTCAAGGAACCTCAAGGAATCTCAAGGGAATCTCAAGGGAATCTCGAGGGAATCTCAAGGGAATCTCAAGGGAATCTCAAGGGAATCCCAAGGGAATCCCAAGGGAATCCCAAGGGAATCCCCAGGGAATCTCAAGGGAATCTCAAGGGAATCTCAAGGGAATCTCAAGGGAATCTCAAGGGAATCTCAAGGGAATCTCAAGGAATCTCAAGGGAATCTTAAGGGAATCTCAAGGGAATCTCAAACAAACTCAAGGAATCTCAAGGAATCTCAAGGGAATCTCAAGGGAATCTCAAGGGAATCCCAAGGGAATCCCAAGGGAATCTCAAGGGAATCCCAAGGGAATCTCAAGGAATCTCAAGGACTCTCAAGGAATCTCAAGGAATCTCAAGGGAATCTCAAGGGAATCTCAAGGAATCTCAAGGGAATCTCAAGGGAATCTCATGAAGGGAATTTCAAGGGAATCTCAAGGGAATCTCAAGGGAATCTCGAGGGAATCCCAAGGGAATCCCAAGGGAATCTCAAGGGAATCTCAAGGGAATCTCAAGGAATCTCAAGGACTCTCAAGGAATCTCAAGGAATCTCAAGGGAATCTCAAGGGAATCTCAAGGGAATCTCAAGGAATCTCAAGGAATCTCAAGGGAATCCCAAGGGAATCTCAAGGGAATCTCAAGGAATCTCAAGGGAATCTCAAGGGAATCTCCAGGGAATCTCAGGGGAATCTCAGGGGAACCTCAGGGGAATCTCAATGGAATCTCAAGGGAATCTCAAGGGAATCTCAAGGGAATCCCAATGGAATCTCAATGGAATCTCAATGGAATCTCAATGGAATCCCAGGGGAATCTCAGGGGAATCCCAGGGGAATCTCAGGGGAATCTCAAGGAATCCCAGGGGAATCTCAGGGGAGGGGAATCCCAGGGGAATCTCAGGGGAATCTCAGGGAATCCCAGGGGAATCTCAGGGGAATCTCAGGCCGGGGAATCTCAAGGAATCTCAGAGGAATCTCGGGGGAATCTCAGGGGAATCCCAGGGGAATCTCAAGGGAATCTCAAGCTCAAGGAAGCTCAAGGAAGCTCAAGGAACCGCAAAGAACATCAAGGAACCTCAAGGAACCTCAAGGAACCTCAAGGAACCTCAAGGAACCTCAAGGAACCTCAAGGAATCTCAAGGAACCTCAAGGAATCTCAAGGAACCTCAAAGAACCTCAAGGAACCTCAAGGAACCTCAGGGAACCTCAGGGAACCTCAAGGAACCTCAAGGAACCTCAAGGAACCTCAAGGAACCTCAAGGAACCTCAAGGAACCGCAAGGGACCTCAAGGAATCTCAAGGAATCTCAAGGAATCTCAAGGAATCTCAAGGGCATCTCAAGGAATCTCAATTGAAGGGAATCTCAAGGAATCTCAAGGAAACTCAAGGAATCTCAAGGGAATCTCAAGGGAATCCCAAGGAAGTCTCAAGAGAATCTCAAGGGAATCTCAAGGAATCTCAAGGAATCTCAAGGAATCCCAAGGAATCTCAGGGAATCTCAAGGAATCTCAAGGGAATCTCAAGGGAATCTCAAGGAATCTCAAGGAATCGCAAGGGAATCTCAAGGGAGCCTCAAGAGAATCTCAAGGGAATCTCAAGGAATCTCAAGGAATCTCAAGGAATCTCAAGGAACCTCAAGGAAACTCAAGGAATCTCAAGGAATCTCAAGGAATCTCAATTGAAGGAATCTCAAGGAATCTCAAGGAAACTCAAGGAATCTCAAGGGAATCTCAAGGGAATCTCAAGGAATCTCAAGGAATCTCAAGGAATCTCAAGGAATCTCATGGAATCTCAAGGAATCTCAATGGAATCTCAAGGGAATCTCGATGGAATCTCAAGGAATTAATCTCAGGGAATCTCAAGGAAACTCAGGGAATCTCAAGGGAATCCCAAGGGAATCTCAAGGGAATCTCAAGGGAATCTCAAGGGAATCCCAAGGGAATCTCAAGGATATCTCAAGGGAATCTCAAGGGAATCCCAAGGGAATCCCAAGGGAATCCCAATGGAATCTCAAGGGAATCCCAAGGAACCTCAAGGAACCTCAAGGGAATCTCAAGGGGAATCACAAGGGAATCTCAAGGAAATCTCAAGGGAATTCTCAAGGAACCTCAAGGAAATCTCAAGGGAATCTTCAAGGGAATCTCAACGGAATCTCAAGGGAATCTCAAGGAATTCAAGCGAATCTGAAGGGATCTCAAGGTGAATTCTCAAGGAATCTCAAGGGAATCTTAAGGGAATCTCAAGGAATCTCAAGGAATCTCAAGGAATCTCATGGAATCTCAAGGAATCTCAATGGAATCTCAAGGGAATCTCGATGGAATCTCAAGGAATTAATCTCAGGGAATCTCAAGGAAACTCAGGGAATCTCAAGGGAATCCCAAGGGAATCTCAAGGGAATCTCAAGGGAATCTCAAGGGAATCCCAAGGGAATCTCAAGGAATCTCAAGGGAATCTCAAGGGAATCCCAAGGGAATCCCAAGGGAATCCCAAGGGAATCTCAAGGGAATCTCAAGGGAATCTCAAGGGAATCTCAAGGGAATCTCAAGGGAATCTCAATGGAATTTCAAGGGAATCTCAATGGAATCTCAAGGGAATCCCAGAGGAATCTCAAGGAATCCCAAGGGAATCTCAAGGGAATCTCAATCTCAAGGGAATCTCAAGGGAATCTCAAGGGAATCTCAAGGGAATCTCAAGGACTCTCAAGGAATCTCAAGGAATCTCAAGGAATCTCAAGGAATCTCAAGGAATCTCAGGGAATCTCAAGGGAATCTCAAGGGAATCTCAAGGGAATCTCAGGGAATCTCAAGGAATCTCAAGGAATCTCAAGGAATCTCAAGGAATCTCAAGGGAATCTCAAGGGAATCTCAAGGGAATCTCAAGGGAATCTCAAGGGAATCTCAAGG